TATACAATAGGGAGGGGGTGGATCAATCTGACAGTTCAAACCTCATGTCAATGTCTTTGAACCTCATTTTTTACATTTTAATATTTCTGTGAAATCAGAACATTAACAGTTGATGTAGACATTTAATGTACGCAACTTTAAATTGAAAATGTATTTTACAATTGCTGACACCTTGGAATTGAAGAAATAAGGTAATTATGCTATTTCTTGCTTTGAAAATTGCTAGATTGTCTCTTATCTAAATTATGATTAGATTATGTAGCCAATGGCTAGTGTTTCAATGAGGAACAAGAGCACAATACATCACTTCCTTGGACAAAATTCCCAACATTTTCTATTTCAGTTACACTAACTATCTCTACTGCAGTCAATGACAAGTCATTTAATAAACAGCACAGGCATGGCTCAATGGTGTTTTGTATGTTGCATCAATGTAGAGCTAAGTGAAAAATCTAGAGAAAAGTACCAAGACCATGGAAGTTGTAAATTCTCTCTCCTTACCTCTTTTTTGAGACCTCAGACTTCCATCATCAGAATAAGGATACCCATTTCGAAACCCCTGTTTCTTTCAAATTCCTACAGATAAGAAAGCTAGGAAATAATTAGTTTCTTTTGGGATCCAAGATGGACGAAGGTATTGCATATAAAATATAATGATAGATGTTACCTGTATGTGTGTATAAGAACATTATGATTCACACAGTCATCTTTCCACAGGTTTAAGAATATTGTCTACACCTACCGAATCTTCAGAGAGAAAAATGGCTATTACAAGATACAGGTAAGAACACATAAGGACTCCTGCAACAACAACAACAACAAAGTTGGGAGAGGAAAATCTAAGATCATCTCTTGAACCTGAGATGTGACCATGTGAAGGGATTCTAGAAAGGGAAGCACCATGCAGAGTTAAGAGTCAGATGGATAGTTAACCTTGTCTTTCTCTGAGAGAAACGGGAAAGCACTAGAGATGGGTTTCACATTTGAATAACTCTGGCTGTTATTAAAAAATGTAGAGGCACACCACCCTGGTTCCTCCACTGGTCAAATGCACCAACCTGGAACTCGTGCAAACCCACTGTTAGAAGACTAAATGATGACGCAGGATGGAAGTGGAAAGGGAAAGCGAGGAGAGGTCTGCCAGGTGTGCTCCACAGCTGTCTGAAAATATAAGGGGAAGCAGCAGACAGCTGGAAGTCTTAGGGATTTGTTTAATTTTTTTGGTTTACCGAAAGCTAAGCAGAAAAACCTTTTGCTTCTTTTGAATTTCTCTGGCTTAAGAAGTAAAGTATAATAAACATCATTGAATTTTTAATTGTTCACAGGAAATCCTGAAATAATCTTTCAGAAACACTTGCTAACCAGCTGTAAACCAAGTACTATTTTCTAATATAACCTTATGGAAAAATTTTAAAAACAAAATGAATTTGCTTTCTCTGAAGGTTAAGCAGATTTTTTACTTCAAGACTTCTCAGAATCTTCAATATGTTAATGTTCGTTGTGAATATCTGAAAGAGACTAGGATATACAGTGATCCCCAAACACCTTATATATCATTTTTCTTTGGCTGTAGAGGACATTACTGAGGCAATTGGCAAAATTTGAATAAATTAAAAATCTGAATAAAATTTTAAAATAGTACTACATCAAGGTTAATTTTCTTATTTTAATCATTGTAGTGTGGTTATATAATGTTCTTACATTTTAGGAAATACTGAAGTACAACATTTAGGGTTAAAGGGATATCATGTCTGCAACTTAATTCTCAAAATATCTTTTTAAAAAGAATATGTATGTGAATATACACACTCACGTATATTTATATATATATAGAAAGAGAGAATTATAAGAAAATGTTAACATATGGGGTGTGGGTGAAGGATATACTATTTTTGCAACTCTGCTATGTCTAAAATTATTTCAAAATGAGATGTCTTCTAGAGAGCAACTTACTTTAATTTTTTTTTTCCTTGTCATGCATACTTTGGGAGATTCTGGATAATTCATAAGTATTCTATTGTCTCCCGTCTGGACAAAACAGAGAGGCACCCAAGTCAGTATAACTCAGACTCAAATGGTCATTTCATGAGGAGCAGCTCTGTACTCAGAGGTCTGTAGCGGATGATGCTTTGGGTTGAAGTGACTGCATTAAAGAGACCTCCCTGCAGGCAACCTCAAAGTCAGCCTGCATCTCTAGCCTGGAGGTTAACCAGACTGTACATCAGAAAACCTTCTGATCACCGCTCCTCTCTGTCTCTGTAGCCTGACACAGTGGCCGTGTGAGAAACCAGAGAGCAGAGAAAACAAATTCTTTTTGTTTCAAAGTAGTTTTATAAGATTATATTAGAAAGTAGTACTTGGCTTATAGCTGGTAAACAGAAAACAACTATTTTTGATTTAACTGAGTCGTGTTAACATTTCCACTTTCAACTTAAATCAGGATTTTTTTGTCTTGTTTTCCTTACATGGAGATTGTGAATTCATGAAGTATGTAAATTGCATGTTTGGCATTTCCCATCAGAAGTGCGCCTCTTTTAGTCCCCTAAGAGAGCAAAGTGTGCCAGCAAGGGGTCTGACATAACTCTTAGAGGGTATAGTGGATTGAATTATATCCCCCCAAAACTCACTGAAGCTTGAATTGTGTTCCCCAAGTTTTATGTATTAAAAGCTTAGCCTCCACAGTGACTATTAAGAGGGTGGGAAATCCTATTATGGTCATTGAAAGGTGGAGCCTTGAAGAGGTGATTGAATTGTAGGACCCTGCAGTAGTGAATGGATTAAAAATGGTCACCCGGGGTGTGGTTCTGAGGGCTTTAAAAGAAGAGGAGAGTCTTTCTCTCTCTGTCTCTGCTTCCACCATCTTGCAATGTGAGACCCCTGGGTCACTGTCACCACCACCAAATGGACCTTGAACTTCCCAGCCACAGAAACTGTAAGCAATAATTTCGTTTTCTTTATAAATTACCCAGTTCCCAGTATTTTTGTTATAAGCAACAGACACTGACTAATATGAAGGATTACACTTCACAGTGTATCTGCAAGAACTGCCTCAGACAAACTTGCCAAGGATGGGAGCTCGCTCAGTACCGCAGGCTGAGTTGGGAATCCCTTAATTGTAGAATCCTCTTTACTCAGGGTAGCTCAAGTCAGAGGCTGGTCTAAAAAATGAGAGATTCTGTGAATTGCCATAGGTGGTAGCTCTTAAGCATGAGCTACTGGCCGCTTATTTTCAGTTTGTCAGCTCACAGAGGCAGCTCTGAAACTGTTTTGAGAAGTGTCACCTTTCTCACACAGCTGCCCCACGATGAGTGATCTTCTTTCTTGTATTTTTGCAGACTGCGGAAGGTATTCCAAAACAGATCTTTCCAAACCTAAAGGAATTGGTCTCCAAATTTGCAAAACCAGATCAAGGGCTGGCAGTTCATCTTTCAAACCCAATAATGAGAACCAGCCCCTACCTGAGATGGAGAAGATCAAAATCAGAGCTGGATTGCATTTCTGGTAAAGGCCCTCACACTGATCAGAAAGGAATCTTAATCCTATTTCCACCAGTGGTCTACTTTGTAGAATTAATACTGATAAATGTCATTTTCCATGACATTAGCTCTAAAAAGCTTCATTTTACCAAGAGCAAATTCCATTTTGTTGAAAAGTGATGTCTTCTAGCCCCTGAAGTTGGACAGGACATAGAGCTTGGACAGCCGGGAGAGCAAAAGTGGTTCCTGGGCAAAGAGCCGACTTTGAATTCATTCTATGACCTTGTGCAAACCACTCAAGTGTGGGAATAAATGGGCAAATGGGCAGATTTTCAAATGAGAAAATCACTTTAACTCCCTCCCCCCAAGGCCCATCCTGCTGCATTTTGCTCAATATTTGCTAAGCATTCCTTTACAAAGTGTTAGGTGACAGATTATTTCAGATACATCCCTAAAGGTATCAAGCCATGATGAAGAATGAAAGATGGTCAGTAAATCAGAGTGCAGAGAATCCGTGCTGAGTCCTCTCAGATCACATCATGAGCAGCTACTCTTGCTTACCCACACCCTTGCAATCTGCTGTCAGAGAAGAATCCAGTATCTGTCAGTTGTAACGTAGTTTGCATTTAACTAAGACTTCCAGACATTCATGGTTGAATCCTGTTTTCTCGTGGTGGACCGCATGGCTATCTTCTCAATAAAAGGGGCTGCAGTTATCGATGGGCAGGTGATGGTGATGACAGATGTGCCAGCTGGCGAGTACAGAGGACAGAGTCTTCTTGGGGAGCCTGCCATCACTTCACTCCCATTCTACTCTGTCTACAGCAAAGTCACCCTTCAGGCTGCCACAGCAGGCTTTTCACCGCCCCAACAAGAGAAAGCATGGAGTTTTAAGGATTAAAATAAAAACCTCCTCCACTACCCTTGTTTCTCTGTCCCCCGTCATCTCCATGCAGGGGAGTATGCACCCATGCATGCACAAAACACTTTCTATAGGTCCAGCTGCAGATGTAGTCCTGTGTCTATTTTCTACCAAAACTTATAGAACACAAAGAGGTGGCAGAGCTAGAAACCCAGGAACGTACCTGTGCCGCAGCCCTTAGACCAACCCAGATGAATTAGTGGGGGTGGTGGTAGTATTTTTCTCAGCAATGATAAAATAAGCATAAATTCCAAGGGAAGAACCCCTTAGAAATCTCCAAGAATTGAGCGAGAGTCTCACCCCACCATCTTTCCATGCTTGGTCAAGGCTGGCAGAGTGAGCTCTCAAATCCTCAGCTACCAGAAGGGAAATATCCTCCCACCGGCCCCATCTTCTTCCTTCCCATTCCTTTGTCTCCTTAGAATGAGCTTCAGATGTTCTTACCCCAAGGGATGCACAGGTTTTTTGCTGGTGAATGGAGACATTTGGTGCTGAAGACTCTGAGGCTTGGCTTATTATAAAGGGACCCCCTTATTTTGCCAGAAGAGCTCCCTGTGCTACCCCAGCCTTTAAAGTTGTCACTTTTATGTGGCATCAAGATCATTCTGTGCCTGGGGAGAGATCTTCTCTCCACCGAGTGGGGTTGGTCCACGTGGCTTCTGAATGTGGAGTCTCATGGCTGGTCTCCTGCTTTGTTTTCTCCCAGAGAACAGTCATGATGATTATGTGCAAGTCTTGCCTTGAAGATAAGGAGAATGGGCAAAGCAAGTTCGAGAAGGGATGGGTGACAGCTCTCACTGGTGACCTGCTTCGCCTGCAGATGTAGGTCTGGAACGCTAAACTCTAGTGGACAATTCAGACTCCCTTAGTGTGTTTCCCTGAAGATGTTCTGTCCAGCAGCCTCTGAGCAGTCACTTCTCCCCACACCCTCACTTCCAGGCGTACACCGTGAGGAGTTTCAAGGCCTTCCTTCTTCTCTCACTATCCTTTCCTGGAACGGGACAGCCTGAACCTCCTTGACTTGTTAAAGGTACTACCACGACGTCATGGCTGAACAGGGTTGACCACCCTCCTTCTGACCAGGCAACCAGAGAGGCAGCTTCATACAGAGGAGAGAGCATTCGGCAGGGAGCTCAAGGCCCTGACTTCCAGTCCTGTGGCTACATGACTTTGGACAAACTTCTTCCCTTCTCTAGGTCTCAGTTTCTTTGTCTATGAAACAAGTTTTGGGGTGGGTGATGGAGTTTGGATGTGTTGTCCCCGCCAAAACTCATGGGAAATTTGATCCCCAATGTGGCAGTGTTGGAAGCTGTTTGAGTCATGGGGGTGGATCCCTCATAAATGGATTAATGTTCTCCCTGGGGGAGGGGGGAGGCCACCTAGAGCAATGCGGGTAAGTTCCTCATTTCTGTCTGAGACCTCATCATCCACACTGTCTAGATGAGAGGCCATCTAGAGCAATCCCAAGCAGGAATGTGGGGTCAGATCCCCCACAGAGAACCCCCATCAGGGAAATGTCTAGTAGAGCCAAGACAGCAGGGCTGCTGCCAGGACCTCAGAACTGCAGGACCATGGGTAACATGCAACACTGGCCTGGAAAAGCTGCAGGCACCAGCGCTGCCCACTGGGCTGCAACTGGCAGAGCTGTGGAAGCGAAGTTGCCCAAGGCTTTGGGGGCCCAGATGGCCAATTGTGCCCAGGATGCAGGACTTGGAGTCAAAGAAGATTATTTTGGAGCTTTAAGACATAGTGTCTGCCCTGCTGGGTTTTGGACTTGTTTGGGACCTATTTCTCCTTTCTTCTGGCCTATTTCTCCCTTTTGGAATGGGAACGTGTACCCAATGTTTGTTCCACCATTGTATCTTGGAAATAGATAAATTTGGTTTTGTTGTTACAGGTTCACAGCTGGAAGGCCTTTTGCTTTTGGTCTCAGATGAGACTTTGGACTTTGGACTTTTAAGTTGGTGCTGGAACAAGCTAATACTTTTGGGACTGTTGGGATAGAATGATTGTATTTTGTATGTAAGAGTGACATGAGTTTTGGGGGGCCAGGGGTGGGTGATGGAGTTTGGATGTTTTGTCCCCTCCAAAACTCATGTGGAAATTTGATCCCCAATGTGGCAATGTTGGAAGCTATTTGAGTCATGAGGGTGGATCCCTCATGAATGGATTAATGCTCTCCCTAGGTCAGGGAATTAATGAGTAAGTTCTCGCTCTATTAGTTCCCGTGAGAGCTGGTTGTTTAAAAAGTCCCTGGCACCTTCTCTCTTTCTCTCTTGCTTCCTCTTGCCATGTGATCTGCTTGTAGCCGCTGGCTGCCTGCCGTTTTTCTGCCATGAGTAGAAGGAGCCTGAGGCCCGTGCCAGATGCAGCTGTCCCAGAATCGGAAGCCAAATAAACCTCTTTCCTTTATAAATTACCCAGTCTCAGGTATTTCTGTCATAGCAACACAAAATGGACTAAAACAGTGGGTAATACACACTGCCCTAGTCTCTCTGTTGAGCCTGGTTGTGTCAGCCGGAGTTGGGGCGTCTGAGAGTGGTGGAGATGCATACAGGATCAGTAAGGGATCAGGGTCTCAGCCTCCCTGAACAGCCAACACATTCTCTGTGCTTGCCTGCCCTTACTGGTCTTGGTCACGGTGAAAGCCTTGACCCACTCATGCAAGCTTCTCTCTCCAGCCTGGGCTACTCTTCTTCTATCTCTTCTTCCCAAACATTGCCCTGAACACACTTTCTCCCTGATTTTGCCTAATTCCACATAGGCACCAACCACTGCAGCAACATGAATGTGGTTCTCTACAGTGATATATGTAGATATTTAAAAGACATTCTCCTAGATGTGCTTTCTATTCCCAGCTAGGTTCTAAGTGCCATCAAAGCATGGTTGGGTCTTTCTTGTGTCCTCCGCAGTGTGTAGAAATATGTGCTGCACAGAGCTGTGCTCAGATCATAGACATTATTGACTGAAAGCACATTTCTGAAGAGTTTGTTGAACTAGGTTCTAAGGCCCCTTAAATTTTTTCTGCTAGTTCAAAATATTAATTAAGACCTGGTTAGTTCAGAATGTACCAAATTCTATGCCCTTTCTCTTACCCGTCTTCAAACTGCAGTGGTTTGTTTCATCCCACTGGCCATACTCTTCAAAGTCATTGAAGAGAGGAACTTTCAGTTTCCAGGTAACATGAACAGACATTGTGACTGGAGCCACAAAGTGTGAAGCATTGTGAGTTCTTGGGTCGCGGCAATCATGGCGACTGTCAGGTAGAGAAGTGAGACACAGCCATATTTAGAGAGCTCAGGGAGCCAAATCCTCCTGGTTTGTTCAGTAAAGAACACCAGAAGCCAGCCTGCTCCCTGAGGTTCAGTTCTAGGTCTTTGATTCTTTCTCCATGGTACTAACAATCATGTTCCAGTTTCCAGAGCCTACAGCACAGGAAATATATTTAATAAATATCTCTTGAATAAATGAATAAGTTGGTATATATAAAACGTGGTCACTCATTCTGAATAGCAGAGATGTTTGAGCTTTATATATTTCAAAATCCAGTAGGTCAAGACTATTCATTCAAGATTTTTCAGTTATAACTCTCCTAGGAGTGATCTCCTTTCTTTTGAACACCCATGCACAGTATCTTGCATGACGTTGGTCCCCAGTGGGCTTTCAGTACATTTCTCAAATGAGCAAACCACATTTAAAAGCTGATGTTGATATCATGCTATAAATCTGTGACATTTTTTAGAAGACCCTGAACAGATCACCTGAGTAACCGCTAAAAAATCTGGGTATGTGAGATTGAAAGAGGGGGGACTATTTCAAATGTTTGAAGCGCTGTTCTGTGAAAGGAGATGTAGACTCGCTGGGTCCGATGCCAGAGAGCAGAGCTTGGCCAGCGGTTGGGTGTTTATAGGAGGGAAGTTTTAGCCTAATGTGATAAAGAATGCTGAACCCACTAAAGCTATCCTACACTCTAACAGTCTGCCCTGTGCTGTTGTTCAAGTGGAGGATGATATTTTCCAAGGATATGCGAGACATGAATCCTGCCTTGATAAGAATTGGGATGCCTGACTGCTAAGGCACTTTCCAACTCAAGGATTGCCGGATTCTATTCTCTTAACAATCACAGTGAAATCTTTTTATTTATTTTTGGACTTAGGTATGAGAGTTGAGTTTATCACATTCCTTAGTTCTTAATTTACTACCACCATCAGTCCATACAAAAACCTTCTTTTATTTTATTTTTCTTCCCTTTATCTCTAATTCCCATTCCAAAGTTCACCCTCCCCCATAGGGACCAGCCCTCTATGATTTGATATACGTGCTTGGGTTTTGGTAAGTACCCTTGTAGAATACACAGTACTGCCTGTGAAAATATATGTCTTTGACATTTATGTACATGATGTGATGCTATTGCTCCAATTCTGTTACTTCTTTCCTCTCACGATACTGTTTGTTTCTGTTCCTTCTTACTGCATGTACACCTAATTCAGTGCCACTCACTGCTGCTTGGTATTCCACAGGGTGCATCCACCACATTCCTCTAGAGATAGACACCAAGGTTGTTTTTAATTCCTTGCTGCCAGAAACAACACCGTGATGAGCAACCTCACACGAGTCTCCTAATGGAACTATGAGAGTGGGTCGTAAATTATGTTCATGTTTAATTATGATGCAATCAAACCCATCAAGTATTTTTTGCCTTATGCTTTGAGCTTTCTTGGTTCTTGCTTAAGAAATACTTCCCCACTCCAGGATTATAAAAAAATTATCCTGCCTTTTTTTTCTATTGAATTTATACTTTTCCCCTCTTAGGGGCTTAGGGTTTTAATGATGGTGAGCCTTTTGCCTGTTTTGCTGACATAGCTCCAATGTTTAGAAAAGTTCTTCTCACATAGTAGATGCTTAATAAATATTTGTTGAGTAAATGATGAATCTGGGGTTAAGCTTTGTACATGGTAAGACACAAGAATCCAATTTTGTATTTCTCCATGTATAGTGAGCTAGTTTTTCTATTTCAGTCTTAATAATTCGTCATTCTCCCTCTGATTTATTGTTCCTCCTTTATAATATATCACGATGGTTCTAATACTCTGGCTTTGGAATGTCTTACTGTGTTTTGTCTTAATTACTTGTGTCTTATTGTCTAGTAGGTAGGACAAGTGGCATTTCTTATTTTTCAAAACTGACAGCTATTTATGGACCTTGATTCCTCTACATACATTTAAAAATAAATGTTATGTTACTCAAAGCCCTCTTGCTAGAACTTTGAATGAACTTGCAATGAATTTGTAGAATAATTAGGAGAGAACCAACATTCTTTCATTTTTTCCATGCATAAACATGTTATATTCATTCACTCAGGTCATCTTTTTTGATCTTTAATAAAGTCATAAATTTTCACCATAGAGGTCTTGTATATTCTGTTAATTAATTCCTAATTACTGTTAGTTGTTATTACATCTTATGTTTTATTATATTTCTAATAGGCTACAGTGGTAGTAAAATGTTTACTCTCTCATTAGAGGTACTAGTTTATCTCTTGGCTGTTTTCTATGTAAATAATTTTGTCAGCTGTAAAGAATATTTTGTTCTGTTTCCTTTTAATACCTATGTCTTTTATTTATTTTTTATGTTAACTTCATTGGCTAGGGCCTCCATTATACATTAAACAGTAGTCATGATAGTGGGCATGCTTGTGTTGTGTCCACTATTATAAGGAATGCTTAGAAAATGTTTTTCCAGTT